AAGCACTTTAGATGACCAAAACTCGGATTAATTGTTTCAATTGCTTTAATTTCTGTTTTATAATTGCATCGTTAGCATATTGCAGTGTTTTCATAAGGTCTTTGTTAGGTTTTGAGTGCAGTGTCATCGTGAAAGCAGTTGAGGTTTTCCTGGTAACCTTCTGAAATCATGCTGGGAGCTTTAAAGAAACTCCACAATGCTAAGAGGTTTATAAAAAGGGGCAAAAATAGCCATTCTATGCAGCAGAGGTTCATTTAAAATTGCTCCCAAAATATATTTGGGTGTTCTTTCTCTTCCTTATTTTTTCTGGCTCTTATCATTTCATTCTTTCTCTTCTTTTCTTTTTCTGGCTCTTATCATTTCTCTCTCTCTCTCTCTCTCGCTCTCGCTCTCACACTCTTTCATAGATAAGATCCATATCAGACTAAGATGGCGGGTGACAGTATTAGATGTTGGCTGTCTGTAAATGCCTCATTAAGTAATGGTGCTTTTTGCCAAATCTCCACTATGATCACTCAGCTGAAGCTCCAGACTGAGAGACCCTCAAAAAAGCTCTATATATTAGATCTACAGAGTTGTGTTTGTTGGAAATACTTTAGTTGATGTAATAAATTATAGTATTTTGTAAATGTATATAATTATGGAAACTCAAGAATAAATTCAAGTGGAAACAATGTACACGTAAATATTTCGTTATATACGCATATATATATATATATATATATATATATATATATATATATATATATATATATATATACAATTAGTGTCTATTATGTTTTGAAAGTAATATAATGTTCATGTTTAATATAATATACTGTGCCCAGTGAAACAAGATGGGTTACACAAATGATGTCTGTTTAGTAATAGTTAGTGCATGAATATACATATAGATATATAATATCATAATATAATATATATGCATATTGTTGTTCCTTGGATCTTCAAAATGGTAACTTTACAGGAAAAGGAAAAAAACTACTTCACTTTTAATGTAAGTTTATAGAACCAGACTTTTTTCCAAGCCATTTTGGGCCGTTTCTTTTGGTTCATTCATCATGAAGGTATTTTCAAATGATGTCAAAAACTGAAAAACAACAAAAATAGACATGGTTTTGTTCTGACAGCAGCGATATATGTTTCCTTTTTCTCTCTTTTTCCAGAGAGAGAAAGAGAGAGAGAGAGAGAGAGAGAGAGAGGGAAAGAGATTGAGAGAGAGAGAGAGAAAGAGAAAGGAACAAAGAGAGGACAGGGACAGAGAGAAGAGAGGTAGGGAGAGAGAACGAGAGAGTGGACAGATAAATATTTCAATGGATGATGACGTTGCTGCTTGCGTCTAGACTGGGGTGGGGGTGGGGGGCTCACGTTCAAAGAGGACTGTGTGTGTGTGTGTGTGTGTGTGTGCGCGTGTGTGTGTGCGCATGTGCTTGTGCGTGTGCTTGTGCGTGCAGGTGTCTGTCCAGGTGGATGAAGATAAGCATATGGGCCACTGAATGCATTTTTGTTTACTGGTACCTGATATTATTTTTCTTTCTGACCCATCTTCACTTTCTAAATTATTCATGCAATTTCCTCACTCTGCTCAAAATACTGTACTTTACATTTATATTGCCTTCCATCTTCCATCTCCTCTCGCTGTCTCTCTGACTGTCTGTTTCTTTCTCTGTATATCTCTCTTTATCTCAGTCTCTCTCATTTATCTGTCTCTCTATCTCTCTCTCTCTCTCCATCTCTGTCTGTCTCAGCTCTGCTTCTCTCTAGCTGTCCACAAACTCTAAAAAAAAGGCCAGCTATGCCTGCACTGTAAGATAGAACAATTGCACTTTTTTTGTTTATTTTACTCATTTGTTAAACCTTCTTGTGCAAATCTAGTAACACTTACTATGTCTTGTATAATGTCTTAATTACTTCAGTAAATCTAGTTGAGATTAATTAACTAATATAAGTCCTATAGACTGAGGCCCAAAAATCTTCCCAGCACTCTTAGCAGTTTTGTTGTTTCTGTCAATTAACTTTTATTTTCATATTTTTAATTGGTTCTCTTCAAATGATGCTGTTATTTTTGTGTTGTTACATTTTCTTTGATGAATATTAAGTTTGGATACATTTTACATGTTTTTGTGATTCTCACCCTGATGGTGTTTGTGTTGAGGTTCAGGAAATGAGTTTGAATGTAATTACTGAGTAAAGGGATGTTATTTGGGGTAATAAATGAGAGGTTAACCTAAGTCAACTAATGTTAGTTTACAGTGTAATGTTTGCATTTATACAGTCTCTGTATTTTGGGTAATTTGTGTATTTTGTACTTTATTTAAAATAAAATATAAAATGTCTGAGTAAAGACGATTTGCAAGTAGGCTGGTCCTTTATAGTAACTGCAGTTGGCTATGCAGACGTATTAAGGACGTGCTTTCAATCAAACATTGGAGCAAAAGTGTCTGGACTCTCTCTCTCCCCCTCCCCGTCTCCGTTCCTCTCTCTCTCTCCCTCTCTCTCTCTCTCTCTGTTTTTCTCTCTCTGTTTTCTGTCTCTCTGTTTCTTTCTCTTTCTCTCTCTTGCTATCTCTCTCTTTCTCCCTCTCTCTCTCTCTTCTTTCTTGCAATCTCTCACTCTCTCTCTCACTCTCTTGCTATCTTTCTCTCGCTCTATCTTGCCATCTCTTTCTCTTTCTTGCCATCTCTTTCCTTCCTCTCTCTGTCTCGCTCTCTCCCAGCTGCCCTGAACGTTATGTGACCATTTTCACAATGAATGGATGAACAGATATGTTCTAGAACTACTAGTCATAAAATCCCATTACATTAAATTTAAGGATATTTTTCAGTTTTTTGTGTGAAGTTCCCATTTCAGAGATACAGTTTCACTATCTTTACTACCAATACGATATATATATCATATAAAATATTATTGAGGCAGCAGGCCTTTGTCATTTCTTCCACAATCTCAGATTCAGTTCCATTACAGTTTCTAAATGAGAATCACTGCAATTTAACACCACTGATTGTGTTTCAGTGATATTTCTATCTTCACCTGCACTTATGGATCTACTCTCACAGTTGGTGTAAAAAGAGCAGCTGGGCGAGTGTCCTGGGACAGAGGGGTGCTATTCTGAGCCTCCGCGGTGTATTTTCTCTCTCTCCCCTATCCATTTGTATCAGGTGCTCAGAGAGGCCTATTTTAGAACAGTGCTTTTTCCACAGCATCAACTACATCAACAATTTATTACAGAAGGAAACAGAGATAACATTTTTAGGACACAGCATGAACAGATATAGAGCACCACAAAACATTGTATTGACTCCACAGTAACTGTGTCAACAGTTTTAGGAAAGGCAGCCAAATGACTGAATTGTGTTTTGGAGTCTCTGTATAGAGCCTTCTATCTGTATAGAGTCTTCATCAGTCTCTTTTATCTGTCTGTTCGACTACCTGCACATTTATCAACCGACCAAAATACACAAACACATATAGAGCTGTCCAGAGTGAAACAGCAAGTAACATCCCTTCACTGGACAGAGTAACGTCCCTAATGACCATAATTACACAGCGCAAGCGTCAGCATATACAGTCGTACACAAAAGTTTGGGTACCCCGGTCAAGTGACGTGTGAAAATGAGTTAAACATCCTCTACAGAGAACTCATTTCTGAAGATTTGAATGTACAACTACTGTTTAGTTCCTGAATTTCACATATTGGGATAAAAATAAAACATATTCCAATGTTAAACTGAAATGAATAGAAATTATTTTGCAGAATTTGCAGAAAATTGTCATATTTAAATGTTACAATAGCGTTTAGGGCCACTGTTAAAAAAATAAAAATAATAGCCCTCAAGAATAAAGTCATAATATTTCGAGATTAAAGTCGTATTTTTTAGAATAAAGTCGTAATATTTAGAGAATAAAGTCATAAAGTTACAAGAATAAACTCACAATATTTCGAAGATAAAGTGGGCTAATTGTAGGGGGGCTGTCATAACGCTTTGGGGCCTCAGTTGTTGTACTGGCGACGACAAAGACGCCGGGCACGCAGAGTTCCACACACTCCTTCGGTATCAATCATTTTGATTATCGTTCTCATTGTATCCTGTGAAACTTCATGCCCTCTTTGAATGGCACAGAGGTGTAACCACCAACAGCCTTGTAGATGCCACTGCCTGCGAGTTCTCCTTCAACAAATCAGACAGTTTCCATCTGGTTTTTTATTCTAAATAAACAGTTTCTTGTTCAGCCATTTCAGCTGCTTCTTGTACTATAACAATCTGGTTCTGATGTGCCAGAGAGAGACAGGGAGACTCAGTATTTCTTTATTGGTGAAACTGTGATGAATGTATAACTCCACCAACTCCTCTACCCCACCCCCCCCTTATTTTAATACGAGGAGGAAGCTACCTTCCCTTTGCAAACCCTTTGGCCACAATACTGCAACTTTTCCTGGTATCTATGCCACTTTAATGTCATAATTCTACAACTTTATTCTCGAAATATTACAACTTTCTTCTCAAAACATCATGAAGTATGACTTTTTATCTCGAAAGAATTTATTCTCAAAGTTTACTATTTTACATTTTTTTTAACAGTGGCCCTAAAACGCCACTGTAAAATGTGGTCTCTGCAAAGGATTGTTTAGTTTTATTTTCACATCAACAAAATGTGTAATTTGACAGTTGTACATGACTGTATGCAGTTAAATACTTGCCTTGTATTGAGAACAGTTGCCATACAGCCTTCATGGACTGAAACCATTTGAAAGGAAAGACGATGGGGCATGGTGGGAAACGTAGTTTGCTTGGTCACTTGGTGTTTTAGTTCAGTTTAAAATGCATGGGTTAGAACGGACAACTTAATGGCATATGTATTGACTTTTGTCCTCTTGGATATAGTGGAGCATGACAGCGTTGTGTCTAGTTAAGCCATAACTATCCGCTTTAAACACTGTTAATGATTGCCTTTCTCTCCTGGTGTTCAGAAAGTGTATGCTTGTGTGTGTAGTATGTACTCACTGTCAAGGCACTGGCCGCACACGGTTTGGTTACGTCCGCACTTCTGAATGACCCCTTCCCCAGGTGGACACTCTATACAGCACTCCCCGCTGATGGTGTACTGACCAGAGCTGCACGCCTCCTCCACTGACCGCTCTAGCTTAGAGCCACACACTACTGCCACCTGTGGAGATACACACTCACAGTTAGACCAGATCTCCTCATGTTGAATCATTTCACTATAAAGATGTACAGTAGCTTCAACCCTTAAAACCCCAGACTTATTACACACCAAGGCTTATTACAGGGACTTCAGTGCACCTGGCTGAGCTATTCTTAGAATATAGAAGGGTATAATAAACCTTTTAGGTCTGCTGATAGGCCCTGGCCCTAATGCAAAATAAAGTACAACAGGTTAACAGGTTAACTCCCATGTTTGTATGGCAATTGCCATTGATTTGAATTACACATTTAAGAGTTCAGTAAGAGCATAAGCCTGATATAGCACTTTGATTTACCCATACAGCATCAAGTGTCGTCAGCAGACATTTCAACACCCGAGTCAAATTACATGTTTGATGAAAGTGAAAATAAGTTAACATGTCCTCTACAGGGAACACCCTTAAATATGGCATTTGTCTGTAAATTTTAGAGCTCAGTTTCTATTTATTTGCTGATTTTACTATATCGGGGAAAAAACACAAAATACACAGTGTGGTGTAACTTTTGCACAGACCACCTTTTTTTTTTTACAATATGTTAATACTGAATTCAAATGTGCTTTAAAATCTGCAGAAGTGTTTTCTCTGTAGAGGATGTGTGAAATTATTTTTACTTAGAAAATCAACAAAACATCATTTGATGAGGGGTGCCCAAACTTTTGCATTTGACTCTATACATGACCATTCAAAAGTTTTGAATCACTATGTTCAATTATATACAGTCAGCTTTGTTGCAGATATATGTATAAAATGCTGCTAATGTAATATTGCTATTGCTGAACTTCGTAGGTTTCAAATTAAAGAACGTCTTAAAAATATCAGAAATTCTGTCAGGCAGTGAGAAGTTATAATAAAGATCCCGAATGCCTTGTATTACTTTTATTACTTGTCTTGTAAAAGTGATCACATGTCCAGACCGCTAACCTGACATTAAATTGCAGTAAATAAACAATTGTAATATTTTCCACTTGATAACTTCAACTATTAAAATATTGTCAAAACAAAACAAACGTTTAAATGTGTAAAACCTTTTTGTCACAAATTGACTCCAATTGAAATGTAATTAGTGTTAAAGATTGCTGTAATTGTGTTTTTTGTCATGATTGAGTTCACTTTCACTCACAGTCACATTCATTAAATCACGGCTGTTACAGTGAACGAGGGGCAGAGGCCTCTGTGGGGTCGAGAGGTTTAACAGTGTAGATGAATGTGGGCTCAGTATTTGCTAAGCAGCAGGTCATTATTGCCCTTTTTTATGTGTTATAACTGTGTATGAATTATTTTTAATGTGTTTATTAATTAATAAACATTAATTTTAAATTTAAACTGTTCATAAAGCTTTATTGTTATTCTTTTTTTATTCATACAGGGGCAGGTTAGCCCACTGAGCCAAAGGTTTAATTTACAGTGGGGACCTGTAAAACATACATAAAAATACATTAATATAGTAAACAGACTTTATAACAAACATAAAAAATCTAAATCAATAAGACAACTAGAGCAAACAAAATAAATAAAACAAGCCAGAAATGACATAGAATTACACTTTCGACTTTCATTTACCAAGTTGTTTAAAAGTATTTTGAGTTGACTAAAAAGCAAAAGTTGTTGTTTTTAACACTCCGTTGACACTAATGGGACATTACATGAAAATGCCCTCTTACCAAGTTCTGTAGATGAGAACGGTATGTTTAACACCAGCCAACACATATTATATTCCTTCTAACTGTAAAGAAAGATAAAATATATATCAATATAAATAAATATTAATAATTGCTGCTTCCTTCTTGTGTACAAAGATAACAAGCCAACTTTACAGTACAGCTCACAGTGATGGGAAGTCTGATAGAGGCAGTCTTACTGTAAAGTGGTACCATTTATATATGTATCTAAAACAACATTGGTTTTATATTTATAAATAAAAGCTTTGAACAATAGTCTCAAAGTGAGCGTCTACTTTCTCTCGTATTACAGTAACTCTCTGCCTCCTCCACAGAGTAAGTGGAGTGTATCTCCTGCTGCACCCTCAGGGGGTCAGAGGTCTTTAACGACAGAGCTGGACTAACGCGGTGGGCCGCACGGGGCTGTGTGGGTCTCTAAAGCAGGGTGTGTGCAGGAACAGCAGCGATGGTCCTGCGTGCAGCTGTGTCAGCTGCGCTGGTCTAAAGGCACAGTTAATGGGCCACACACCAGCACTCTGAGGACGGATATATGTGCTTACAGTTCTCAAGGCAGCTATCAGCCCCACCCTGATAGCTACAGATCACAGAGACACGCTCTCACACATGGAATTGAGATGTTGAGAAACATGACAAGGCTGAGACATTATGACTTTGTTTTAAAGCGATGGTTTGGTGTCCCAAGTTTGCTTCTCGAAGGGGAATTTCATTGTTTTTCAAAGTTTTTGCATAATTCAGTGGCAGAGATGTGAACAAAGTCATTGAGAGTGGTTAATGTGAAATGGTTCATTTTAGAGAAGCTTACAGACTCAGATTTCTTTACAGTGGTGCTGATAGGAACCAGGGGTCCTAATGTCTACAACACAAATACCGGCATTTTATTTGCTATCCAAAACTAACAGTAAAACTACACGTCTTCAGAGTTTCTACATAGTGGCATCGGCCACAGGGCACGCTGCCTCTCAGGAGCTCATGGGCATGCTATATGAAAAGGCTTGTGGGAGGCGTGCGCCCCTTTAAAAGGGACTGTTTATTGTGCTGTTTATGTCGTGTTCTGTTAGTTTAAAATGTGTTATGTTTGCATGTGTTATTTTGTGTTGGGATGTGGGCTTTGTGAGTGTGGGTTGGGGGGTCACTGTCAGCAGAGGTTTTATGGTTTTAGGAGACCTGCTGTTTTCATGCTGATGCAGTGGTTTTTCTGCTTTTTGTTCAATTAAGAGCAATTTTCGAGCAGAAATTATGACCTGACCTGATTCTTCTTCACCAAAACACCACAATGTGTAATGTTGATGATGGTAAAATCAGGATATATCTGAAAAAAATAAGTTTTCTTTAGGGACGGACTGTTTTTCCCCAATAACACCCTCCATGTGTATCTTTGTCATAAGTGGACTTAAAAAAATTATGTTTTAGGCCAAAATCTTTTCAGAATTGACATAAAGCGATGTCTCAGATATCAGGCAGCATAATTATAACCATTTCATGTAATAACTGTCTGTGGGGGAGCTTTTAGAGGTGGACGTCCAGTTCCTGTTGCCACCACTGTGAATAATTCTGACTTGGTAAGTTTCTCTGGGACAAATCATAACTTTCTTTACATCTTATCAATTGAATTATGCATACTTTTATAAATAAATCAGGTGGAGTTCCCTTTTTACTTTTGGAATGGAGCTACAGGGCTAATGTTGCAAACAAGTGAGGTAAGCTTAAATGGCAAACCTGTTAGCATCGTCCAGCTGCATGCCTAAGTCGTCACACTCTTCAGACTATGTGGAGCTGTTAAAGGGGCACTTCAGCCAAGACGAAAAATGCAACCATTGCTTCACTTGTAAACATGCAGAGTCTTCTTTTACAGCAGTGTCACAGCAGCCTTGAGGGTGAGATTGTCTGGTTTGAAGATGAGGAACACCACCTTCTGGTGATGTATCTTTAAGGTACAAGGGCTTTGGGATGAGTTTTTGTGGGTTATCTGTTTGAAATGTGTGTGTTTTTTGTCACTCACATTAACTAGTTAAGTAGCTGTTCCCTGAACTATATGTTTTCTCCAAAACCACAACCAAAATCACAAACTGCCCATATTCGGCTGTTTTTTGCTCCACCCCAGTGAAGGAAATAGCAAGGCTATTGCAGCTAATTGCAGAAGGAAGCCAGGTGGCTTCATGAAGCTATATTCAATGTAACAGAATATCACATCTGCTTTATTAGCCATTAAATCAGTGGATTTCTTTATCGCCCTGGGAGGGATTCCCAGTGGTTGTATGCTGTATTAGCATAATTCATGCTGGGTATTGTAGTGAGAGAACACTGATGGGTGAAACCTCAAAAAGTATACAAAATCATCAATTCTTTAAACTGGATGAGGCTGAGGGATGCAATGCTACGCTGCAGAAAATTACATAATATAACATAGAAAGCTAGTTCTAGGCCCCTTTGCGTCATCTCAAACAGGCACTGTATGACGCACTGTTATCCATAAAAAGGACAAAAGTACAGATAACGTTCAGGATTACAAATGGCTGCAACTACTGCTTTTTGTTATACACTGTCAGAAACCATATAATCACATCTATGAATTTACTGAACATCTTCACGATTGATGTAGGTAAGCAGTTTGCACATGTTGCACTGTTGTACATAGGTTTCCATTACTTGTTAGCTACGTTAGTCTCATAGCTCCAGTCCAAAACTAAACAAGGAAACCTCAGAGACCAAACATGTCTTGGCTGATCACCTATGTTGGAGGTGAGAGGACAACTGTGTAAATTGGATTTTCCATCTAAATACTCCTTTAAATCAACACTCCTACAGTTGGACGGAGCAATGCAAGAATTTTGGGGTTCAGTATGATATAATATATGTTTATATAAAGTGGGGTCCAAAATTCTGAGACCACTAGTATTTTTTTTTCCATTTAAAACTAGAAATGAATAAGAATTTGTTTAGTTTAAAATTTCAAAACAAAGAAAATAGTAAAAAGAAGACAATGTTTTTAAGATTCTGTACTATTTCTAGGTAACTATTGAAATTTAAGCTAATTTTGACCATGCTGAGGTCTATTTTTTTAGATATATCTCTCCCACTGAAGCTTGTGTTTAGACGACTCTCAGTGGATTTAATATACTCAGCAGAGGCTTTTGCTCAAACTTGGGGAGTCAGCGTGAGTGCACGCTACCATTAAAGCAAAGGGGTACACACCAAAACACGAAAATTCATGTAAATATTTCAAAGTTTCTATTTTTCACTCATACTTTTATGCTGATAGTATCATTTGTCATGGTAAAAAAAAGTATGAAATTAAGAAAGAATGCAAAAGCATTAGTGGTCTCAGACTTTCAGACCCGACTGTTGAGTGTAAGTGTTGAATGCATGAGTTATCACCATTGTTTGCACTATACAGTACAACTCTCTATGCTGTGTATTCATGATGGGCTGCTGGGAACTGACTGAGTGGGTGCCACACACACACACACACACACACACACACACACACACACTGTGCTCTTTTACACACTCCAAGAAGAGCAGGACAACACACCTTCATTTACATATGAAATCCGGAGCTTTTCAGAAAAAGCACACATACAAACAGTGGCTGAAACTGTGTCTTCTCTTCTTTTCCTCTATTAATTTGTTAATGGATTAATTAACTTCACTCTTTCCATATGTTCCTCTCTGAACACACACACACAATGTCCCACATGTATAAACATTCACTTCTTCAGAGACAAACAGAACATATTTCTGTGGCATGAGGACCAAAGCATTTCACCGCATAAGAGTTTAAATAAGGAACTAATTATGGAGACCATACTGTGTAAATGTATCAGTACTGAGAGACACACAGAGCGCTTCAATAATCAGGGTTTAAAGTATGTTTCTGCAAAGGATTTTTCATTACTTTCATCTCTCTCTCTCTCTCTCTCTCTCTCTCTCTCTCTCTCTCTCTCTCTCAATCAGTGCACCTCTGCTCTCGAGCGTCCCTCTCCCTTTTCATTCAGGCGCAGATGCACACACAGCAGCCAATTTAACTCCTGTACTCCCTCTCTTGCTCTCATCCTATCCTCTGCTCCCTCCTTCATTCTTTTCCTCTCTCTCTCTCTCTTTTAATTTGGTTCAGTTATTGAAATGACCTTATTTAGTTACAATACAAATATTAAAATCTTCAGTTAATAAATTAGCCCATTATTTCCTTCTCTGTTTCCTTCTGTTTCTCTTTCTCTCCCTCTCTGTCTGTCTACCTCTCTTTCCTCTCCCTGTCTGTCTCTCTCGCTTTGCCTCTCTCTCTTTCTTTCAGTGTCCCTCTCTTTTTCTCTTTCTCTTTCTCCTTCTCCGTCACTCTCTCTCTCTCTCTCTCTCTCTCTCACTGAATCAGTGTCCCTCTCTCTTTCTCTCTATCTCTCTCTCTCTCTCTCTCTCTCTTCCTCTCTTCCTCTCTGTCTTTCTCTCTCACTGAATCAGTCTCTCTCTCTCTCTCTCTCTCTCTCTCTCTCTCACTGAATCAGTGTCCCTCTCTACTCAAGCATCCCTCTCTCCTCCTCTCCTCTCCCCCTTTCATTCAGAGGCAGATGCACATACAGCAGCCAAATCTAAGCCCCTCATTCATGTGCCTGCTCTTTCTCTCTCTCTCTCTCTCTCTCTCTCTCTCTCTCTCTCTGCCTCCTCCTCCTCCTTCCTCTTCTTTAATCCTCCTTTCTCTCCTCCTTTCTCCTCTCTCTTTTAATGCAGTTCAGTTCACTTCAGTTACTGGCAGGACCATGTTCAGTTACAGTATCGACAGGGCAAATCAAATTTTCAACGACTAAAGTAGCCTCTCTCTCTCTCTCTCTCTCTCTCTCTCTCTGTCTGACTCTGTCTTTCTGGTTCTCGCAGTGATGTAGAAATGGAACATATGCTACTGAAGTCCACATATGCTTAGAGAAAACACAGAGAGAGTGAGAAGGAAAGAGAGATGGAAAGAGAGAGAGAGGGAGAGAGAGAGAGAGAGAGAGAGAGGGAGAGCAGAGAGGCTCCGGAGCTCTAAACTCTTCATGCTGCAACTTTACACGCGGTGAACTGGACGCACATGCACCCGCGCTTAAATAGATGCTGAAGGTCTTGTTTACTGTTTACTGAGTCAAAAACAAACCAATTAACAAACGACTGCAACAGATTACGTGAACAGTGAGGCTCGAGGCGGTCCGGGCAGCCGCAGGTCAGTGAGTGTGTGACCGCTGAGCGCGAGCAGCTGAAGGAGCTGCACTGGGTTTCAACACGCTAGAAGTTTCAACACCAGCAGCGCGTGTTCACGATTCCCTCTTTAAAACGAGCACGAGAAGGACAGGAGTTCTAAACATACTGTCAGCTGTAATAATGATAATAATAGTAATAATAATAATAATAGCAAACACTAATAAATGCAGAAATACAACAATAATGTGGCGAATATGTATTATCTATTAATGTCATTAGCTGCTATTATTATTGTTATTATTATTATTATTATTATTATTATTATTATTATTATCAATTTAAAAATTGCGCTCGTGCAGTCATCTGTCAGACTGTGCTCCACAAATCGTGAGCACAGTAAAATACCTGCAGCAGAATAAGTTCCTAAAAGCGCGAGCCCGTTTCACAGCGCGTGAAATAAAGCCGGTTTCCAACTCGTCCGAACCACGATGCGCGCGTCCGTGTGTGTGTGACTGTGTGTGCACTCACCGCTGCCCACAGCAGTGTCCAGCGCCGCGTGTCCATCGTGTCCGCCGCGCGCCCTCCGTCCACTCACTCTGTGTTGTAGCTCATACTGAACTCCCGCGTGCAAGTGCAGCTCCGGACCTCCGCGCGCTTCAGCAGCGCTCTGTGTGTGTGCGTGCGTGAGTGCGTGTGCGCGCGCTCCCGCGCTGCCCCCAGCAGTGCACTGCGGAGGAGGAGAGACGAGCACGCGCGCCTGACCGCAGCGCCTTCATCTTCATCTTCACCCTCCTCACCTCTCTTTCTCTCTCTCCCTCTCTCTCTTCTTTCATTCTCTCTCTCTCTCTCTCTCTCTCTCTCTCCTTTTTCTCTCCCCATAATCAGCATCACAGACCAGTTTTACAGTACTGGAAACTGTTTACATCAGACAACTTTTAAAAAAAAATCTTACTTTTTTTTTATAAAAAATACTCAGTGATGATGATGATGATGACGATGATGATGACGACGATGATGCTGTATTTGGTGTCATGGTTAGGTGTTAAGAGAGAGGAACCTGTGCAGGACTGACTCGGTGTAAATGAATCTTTGAGTGAATGAGCGCTATCGGTATGACGTCATGAGGCTGCTCGAGCATCTGTTGAGTGATTTAAACAGCAGCCACCAGGGGGCGACGAGAGAGCCTGATACAGTGTACAGTGTAATATAACGCGTCCTGCTCTTCAGATACCAGCCTGAACGATTTACAGATTGCTTATTTTGGTTGTCCCACTCAGAAATTTGCCAAAATGCATTTGGAAGTCTTAACCTGTGTACTTACACCCCAAAATAAACAGAATACAAATAAACAAAAACCCAACCCAACAAGGGGAGAGAGATAGAGAGAGAGAGAGAGAGAGAGAGAACCCTAACCTAAGGAGAGATGAGAGAGAGAGAAAGAGAAAGCGAGAGAGAAGCGGGAGACTTTGACTTTGAAAACCATTTATTAAAGCATCATATTAAATTAAGGGTCCATAAAGGGTCTACATATTAAAAAGACAGAAAAGGGGGAATACAGATTCTTTAATGCGTGATTCCACTAACGCCTGAAACAGTTTTATGTCTGTGTCCTGCCCTTCAGATACCAGTGTAAAAGAATTCCACACTGTCTTCTCGCCCCATGAAATGCGTCAAAAATACTGTAGCATCTTGGCAAAGAAGGAGACAGGGGGAGGCCATGATTTTTGCCTCAAGAAGTGTTCTTTACGAACACCAGTAGAAAAGTCACATAAACACAGCTGGACAAAGCAGGCAAATCACTTTTACCTGGACACTTTCTCTGAATGGAAGACCCAAACCCACACTAAGCCTACAGCCCAACACAATGAAGCAGAACAAACACATATGCCACAAGTGCACTAAAGAACAACAACAACAACAGGAACAACAACATTTACAGACCCTTTGATGGAAGTGGGGGCGGGGTGCATGGCACAGATCTGCATACTGTGCCTCTAGAGCCCCTTTTGCGAACCGGAGTGAGTTGTAGCTGCCACATAGCCCCTCCCTCAAAGGTCATCCATCCTGGCGAGCTACACAGCCTAAGCCAAGTCGTTGGGGCATGCAGAGTCCTGGCTAGCACAAGTGCCAGAAGCACTCACTCCCCAGTGGTGACTGACCCCAGTGTACACTAGGGGCTGCACCCATGCCACCGCAGCTCCTTCTAAGCGTGGCAACAATGGCACTTCTCTCAGCCGCCCTCTGCTTTCCCTGCTGTAGACCATGCCATTGATGCTGGCAAGGGTGCCGCTCATGTGCGCTGGAGCCCTGACCTTCAGCCTAAGCAAATCAGCCCTTACTTTCTGCCTGCCCAAATCCACACTAACTAAGCCCACAGGCCAGCACAATGAAACATAACAAACACAAATGCCACACAACAACTGGAACAATAACAATATTTACAGTCCCTTTGACAGAAGTTGGGCAGGGTGTGTGGCACAGATCTGCATTCCATGCCTCTATAGCTGGAACTGGAGTGAGGAGCAGCTGCCACAATACATTTGGAACTCTGAGCCAGTGTGTACTACAAAATAAACAAAATACGGCTAAACAAAAAAACCCCAACTCTCAGAGAGCTCGACCCAGGAGGGGGACCAGCCTTGGACAGTCAGAGGAAAACATAAAAAACTGAATCAGGTTAGTGACAGAAAATGCAACATTAATTGTTGACACAAAGGCATTAGTGGCATTATACAGTGTGGGATCCTCCACTGGGGCTCTCCACTGTTTGGCTAGATGGCCCATATACAGGAGCCTCTATGAAGGCCGCATGTGCTCAGGGACAGAGAGATGGAAATGGTGGAAATGGTACACAAATCAGTCCACCAGATAAGGCACTGGTTACAAAAGACATTAAAGACTAGAAAAAGGGGAGAAAGAAGTGGAGAGAAAAACAGTGACAGACTCTGTCTGTAGTCCTCATTCACTCTCATGAAGAGCAGTGCTCTCTCTGGGCTCAGCACACCTGCTCTGCAGCTCCAGCTCGTCCTCTCCTCCCTCACTATGAATATTTAACCAGACTCGCTGCCCCACTGTTCATTTTGTGAGAAGAGGAACATGAAAGGAATTCCCTGCTTTTATCTAAACCTGTGTAATATCACCTCAGTGGTCCAGTAAAGCAGAGCACAGCCAGTCTGTGCTCCCTCTCTCTCTCTCTCTCTCTACACATTGTACGGAGGATCGAGGAGACCATGCTCATGGTCATTAACTCACATTTGACCACCTGAAGAAGTGCCTGAGGCTGTTGTATCCTCCTTTAATAAAATCTCATGTTATCTTTGGGGAAGATTGATTGATCTTCTTGTAGATACTTGTCTATTGACTTAAGTGCTGTTAATACTTTAAGCCAGGTATTAACCTCAGTCACTCAAGAGAAACACATATTAACCCCTTTGATTTTTGCAGTTGTATTCTTCAGGTTAAACGTCAAATGTACATAATGTTCCCTTTACCCCAGATGTAGTTGATCAGCCGAGACATGTTTGGCGTGTGAAGATTCCTGCTTTAGATTTGCACTGTGGTTTGTAAATTCGTACATTTTTTCATCATTTTAAAAACGTAAGCTACAGATGGCATCAGCATGCTCACCCTGACAATTTGGCTTCTGTTGCTGTGCTGTATTCTACGTATCGGGCAGTGCTGCTCTGTCAAAGCTGTAGTTAAGAGTTTGTGCATGTTGTACCCTCTAATGATACTTAGCATAAAACAGGGGTGTTGGCTGGGCATGTAACTCAGCCCAGTTCACTGTAGAACTGTTTTGGGATTTCCTCCACCAGAATGTGTCGAAAATAAATGTGTCAACAATGATGCCTTTATCGAAGTCCTCTGCACATTTCTTCTGTCTCCACACCAGCATCCTGTTCAATATGTCTCCTTTCTGACATCCTGCTAGCAGAGAAACATTTTATCTACACTCTCAGAAATAAAGAAACTGTCACTGGGGCAGTACCCCTCATGACACTGGGGTGGTACCCTTAAGGGTACATCTCAGTACATTTAGTCAAAGAATATTATTGTATCATAATCTATTGAAAGAATCTTTTCTCCACACACCCCGTCTCGTCTCCAGGCTTTCTATTTTATTGTTCTGTTTTAAGACATTAGGTCATGAAAAGGTAAAAATACATACTTTTCACCTGGAAAAACTTATTTAAGGTACACAACTGGACCTTAAAAAGTACCCACACAGAACCTTTATTTCTAACAGCGTATAGTATTTATATATTTTAAACAATCATTTAAAAAACGTACTATTTGATGTTCAATGAACTTGATATTTTAAAACAGCCAATCTACTTACTTTCATAAGTTAAAATGATTATAGTTCTTTACAGTGTAGTATATATGCAGTTTTTTTACAGAAATGTCAGGCACTCTTGCATTTTCTCCCTTGCATTCTCCCTCCCTCACATGCACTTTTACTGTTGATCTTCTGCTGCTCAAGCAGCTTTGAGCACGTCTGTGCTGATGGCCACAGGAAAGCACATGGAACATCAGCGTTTCAAATCACTGTTTCTCATTTTCATTACCATTAAAATTGGTCGTCCCCTGTAGATTATCTGCAGATGCTCAAATTGTCAACAGCTCTCTGGTAAAATTCCATAGAATCTATTACAGTTAACCTAATGTTCAGATGCATGTAATAGATTTATTTTAGATGGTTAGTTAAATACATGCTAAATAAGTGTGAAAATTATTTGAGAAGTCTTAGTTATTGACACTTCATTGTAGGCCTATTTAACTTTTTTTGCGACCATTTTCGGTGGTTGAAATTTTGGTGCACCACTAGATTCTGACACTGCATGACATGCTGTTCGTGATAAAAATGAACAAAAGCATACTGCAAAGCTAAAAACAGTGGCAGGCATCTCAAAGCCTGAATTTAGTCTTTACTTTTGTTCGTTTTACAGATTACAGATATGGTACATATTTGAGGGAGTTTTGATTTAGGCATGCACTGCTATATTAGCTTTATTAACCCTTTCAGTTTAAAAGGGTTAAAGGTGAAGGTCATGATGAAAGAATGTGTAGTCAATCATAATGTAGAGTGCAAGACCTCCCCTACTGTCCTGACTCTGTTGTCAAACACCGTGGTGGCATTTTTTGGGATGAAGAGGAGTATGGCGGTGTGGAGCATGTGATAGACAGCCTGGTGTCTGGTTTCTGTGTGTGCGGATCATGTAGCAGCTCGGAAGCTCTTTCTAATTGATTTGTGGAGCTGTCAATAAATCCACTTCCTCCAGCTTTAGAGGACATCAGCACCCGCTTTATAGCCTTAATTAACCCTTACATATATGTGCATAGACACAGCTGACTGGGAGGTAGAGCAAAGATCAGTCATTTTCTCTGGTTATCAGTGTAAGTGCTTTAATTCAGGACAGGAAATGAAACAGTAAGTGCTAACTGTACAGGTTGAATGAAAGTGCTTACAGTGCGTAAGTCAGGGGTCGGCAGATACATGCATGTGGGCATTAGTATCTGGTCCAAATTTAATTCATTAATTTTTGTTTAGTTACACATACACTATATGGACAAAAGCATTGGGACACCTACACATTACACCTACAGGAGCTTTTATGACATCCTATTCTAAATCCTTACGCATTAAT